AAGACCCTGGAATGTGCGGAATAAAAGGATGTGGCAGACGCTGATGGCAGCCCGTAAGATGGGTCGTCTGCTGCATCAGATGGTAAGGGAGCTAGCGTGAAAAGCGTCGACATTCTGGTTGTAATGCAAAGGGGAAGATTGTCTAGTTGGTGACTGTGACTGCTTATATGCCCCTTGTCCTTTGTGTTTTGTCTCTTGCGTCGCGACGCGTCCTTTGTTACCACAAAATGATTCACGTGCTTGACGCAGGTCTCGCACAAAACCACAAGATCTAAGGGTGGAAGTAGATTTCGATTTTAATGATGCAACGATGTGTCTAACCAAGACAAGGACGAGGTAAGTAGGTGACGACAAATCAAATCCAACGAGTTTTTTTGTCTGCGACGGCGGGATTAAACGGCAGGAAGGATGGAATGCGAGAGAAGGTAACGATTCCGAAAACACTGATATCAATCGCGTAACAAGCATACGCAAGTAGAATTAGAAGTGGTAAAATCCTCAACGACGATACGTGGAAAGAAAACAGCAAGAAGCCCGAAATTCAGAGTATAAGGAAAGCATTTAGTGGCCAAGACGCTTGACAGTCTCAATCAGACCGATGTTTCTCAGCTTTTGGCTGAAACCATCAGTGCTAGAAACAATGCCATCAGTACAAGCACGACCAATATGAAACAAGGACGAACTATCGCTCAGTGTATCCGTCAAGGCCAGGGAGGAGATCAACGGAAGCGTTGATCAAGGCTACGATCGAAATATCGAGATCCTCCAAGCAGGATTTCAGGAGGACTTCAATGTCGGCGGAAACTGTGACAGAATAGCCTCAATACTCGGCGAACACAAAGATCAGGTGGTATAACGAACTTTTAGCGAGTTTCTCGATCTCGACGATGATGCCAATGTGGATATAAATGATATCTGAGAGTTGGCCTGTAAAGGTTCAGTTAGCACCCTTTCCAAAAGGAGAGAACAGAAAGGGCAGAACGCACCTCCGCATCCAGGGACGCTAGGTGGGTTACCAGGCTGGTTAGAGGGATGAGGGCAGTTAGGGATACTATTCCGTTTCATCCTCAATAGATGCGTGGGAGATGAAAGACGGAAAACTCACTGCTTGACCTCCTTCAAGGCTTTCTTCAACAAAAGCTCAAGCTGCTTCAGGAGCTCGTTGACGTGCACAACGACCTTAGCATTAACATCAGCATGGACGGGCACCTGCCTCCCATGCTTCGCCGCGTGGGACTTGACAGAGTTGTAAATGGCGTCAGCCCGAGTTTGGATGTCTCTCAATCCATTAGCGTAGGAGGAGAGCTCCTTGTTGTATGAGCTCGTGTAGAATGCATTCGGCCCCATGCGGGCAGCACGACGAGCGAGCACACCAGCATCGAAGGAGCGGTGGATTGAAGGCGTGTTGACGGAGACGGAGGGAACCTGGGGATCCACTGGTGCGAGAGGCTCGAAGATGGCGCTCACTGAAGAAACCGACATGTTAATAATATGTCCATCAAAGTGGAGGGGAGAAATGGACGAACCAGAAGCGATGCCGACGAAAGCGAGAGAGAGGAAACGGAGAGCGACCATTTTGTCAAATAAGAGAATGTGAGTGTGAAAAATGAGTGAAGTCTCAAAGGAGTGAGAGATCTTTTGGAATAGAGAACAGAGGAAGTGGACTCTTGCTCTCTCCCTCCTCCCAGATACCCTTTTATAGACTTAGCTGACAGACTAAGTTTTGGATTTCGTTGGGAGCGAACTGGGTTAGCAGACTCAAACTTTCGTACAATTTCAGGCTACTGCCTACTTTCGATGACTAGAAGTGCTGAGCAACTGATGCCTTCTCGACAGGAACGGCTCAACGATTCTGAGATCAAAAATTGCACAGATCGATCGATTGTGCTCGTTGGTACCTTCATGATTTTTCTGGCTTGAAGGAATAGATCCAGCGTCTTTAACGTCGCCTAACGGTCTCTAACTTCCTTGATCAAATCAAGTTACTTCCTTGCCGAGATCCAATCAGTGGCAGGAGAAAATTCTAGCACCGAAGACAGTGCTCTAGCACTTTGTCAATGCATTCAAGGTGGAACTTGGAGTTGAATTGCGTCCCACCAACTTCTTGTTCTTCGGAGTCATAGTGCTACTAGTGAGACTTTCTCATGAACTGGCAATACGAGCATTGAGTTTGAAGCAACTCTTCGATCTTGTCAACCCCCCAGAAGCCTGACAAAAATGCTAGGCTCCAACTGACAATCAAGCTTCCAACCGCCCAAACGAACGAGTGGAGAACTCGTTCCTGGCAACCTTGCGACTTTTCGCCAGAGAACAAGGAACTGCTCGGCGACAAAGAGCGGTATCTTTCAAGGCGTTAAGCTATCTTTCGTAGCTCTTCGCAGCGGGCGTTACGAACGAATACAGCAACTTGAAAACCGTTGGACCGCCGAGACCCCCGAATTTGAACACGCCGCTGAATGCCTTTAGAGTGAAATTGATTCGAAGGAAGAGATAGAAATCGCATGAGCGAAGGAGGATTGGTATTATGATGAGCAACAAAACAGAAATCTCAACAAATAGTTGTTGCTGTTGCCGTGGTAATAAAAATACGTCAGCACCTTATCTTGTCTGCCCTTGTTTGGAGGAAGTCTAGTATGAGTCACCTACGGATGCAATGCGGAAAGCGTATTTGCGCATCATCTACCTGTACCTTCGAACTTCTCCACTTCACCTTTCCCTGAGGGACTACCTGGTGCGAGGTTATCAGTAAGGAAGTAACTGAGAGTAACGACTTGGGACGAAGAGGTGAGTGTCTCTTAATTCACGTTGCCTTGGTCCTTGTAATATTGGAAACGGGATTGTGTGAATGCGCGTTTCAGACCAAAACAGCCATCCCCTTTTTCGCTTGTCAACTTTGAGTTGTAGAATCCCAACATTCCTTTATTCACGCTCTTTTACAAAGAGTCCGGCTCAGCTGGCGGGCCATTCTTCGATTTTTTAGCGCCTTTCTATCTCAATTGACTTGGCGCCATCGTGCAGCCAAACAACCCCCTCGAAGCAAACACTGACTGACTCTTCCCTCCCTCTCCCCTCGAACGGCGGCAGTAACGACCAATTCTTGGGAAGACAACATGCCAGCGTTCGATTATGGAGACTTCGACTACATCTGTCGAAAAATTCCTTCTTATCCGATCTGCAACCTCTTCTACCGCCAACTCCTTAACCATCCTCATAACATCGCCGCTCCGGCCTTCCAAATTCTAGCACTTCCGGACCCCGCCGTGAACAGAACTGGTTTTGACAGAGCTGTGGGTGACGCTGGGGTAGGAATTAGGCCAGAATGTGCGATCCCAAGAATGGGGAGTGCAGGAGGTGATCCGAATAGCAATGGGAATGTTGGTGAGCATTTGCTTCCGTCCTTACCACGGGATGTGGTTAATGACATGACGGTGTGACAAAGCGAATATCGTCCTTTGTGCCGTCTCGACAATCGTCGCTTTGGGACTCGCTGTTCTAGCAGGACGTCGAATGGCGGCCGTAGGTCCGTAGCCCATCCTCAACTTGTTTCCTCCTTATCTGATGGTGTGAAATGCATCGATTAGCACGACTCGAGATCCTCCTCCTCTTCGTCATCTACGCCCTTACTTGCATCTTCCAGCTCGTGGACACCGGCGCCTTCTTACGACAAGGCTCTACGGCGTTAGTTTGGGTGTCAGGAATCCATCAAGGACTCGTCGTCGGCTTCTTTTGGAGTTTAGCTTGGGTCGGTCCTCTCACCCACCCCTTTCTACCGTGGAATTAATAGCGCATGGACGCGCGGCAGATTGCTTTCCTCCAATTCCAAGTCGTAGAGGACGGCACGCTTTCTTCTATCGTCCCTTACACCCTAGGTCTCGTCGTTCTCACCGTCGGCACGTCATATATTGCCCTCGATGTCGGATTCACTGTCACAAACTTCTTCCAATCGAAGCCAGCGGAAGATTTGACCTCCGCATGGTTATTCACCCTGCTCATAGTCTTTCCCCTTGTCTGCGTGGCTTTCTACTTCATCGTCACCGCCGGAGTAGTGGTCAAAGTTCTAAGAGAGAAGAAACCTCTCAGTGCGCCATTTTGTTGCTCTCTTGAGTTGAGTTGGAGAGCTAAATGCGCGATGGCATGTTTGTGAACAGTCATCCTCATCATCACCCTCGCCCTCTTTGCACTGTCACAGGGTGCCTATTGGGCCCTCTCGCATACGATCTGTACGGGAACAAGCGCGAAGGTGGATGGGAGCTTCCTTGCGACTTTATTGGAGACAACGGCTGTGGTTGCCCTCTTTGCGGGATGGAAGTCAATCACTGAGGAAGCTTGGGTACGTCTATACTTCCTTTAGGAGATATTGATGGATATTGATGGGATTTGGATGCCAGGATGATTACACGATTAATTCGTCAGGTTTCTTGGTGTAGATCCTCATTGTGTCCGATCTTTTTTCGTTCGAATCCATCTTCTTTCTTTGCTTGTTTCTTTTTTACTTTGAGGAGTGCGAAAGAACAGTTTCAGCTTCTTGAATCCATTTTATTGAAAGTGAAGAACAGAGCCGCTGACTGTGTCCTTGTCCTTACGTCCCTTCCACTGGCGATCCATGAGCCCTCAAAAGTTGTCTTATTGAGATACCAGTTTTTATTGACGTCGATTCCTCGGGAAGTGGAGGAGGAAACTTGATGTGAGTGTAATTTGCAAGGTGGGATTTGTTGTGATTGAACTATCATTTTACCCTTGTCTGGTTGGCTTGTCGCTCGAAAAGCGAAGGGCGATATTTTGCTCTGGTCGAAAAGAGGATGAACTGATATTCATGAACTATGAATTACCCTCATCCCCCTTCCCTTATTCAAGTTCGCTTCCCTAGTATTCCATGATACGCTGTCATGGGAAGAGGGACCCCTCCTATGGTTCCATCAAATGCATTATTCATTGTTTGTTCTCAAAACTGTAGCCTACGTTTGGAATGAAATTAAGCTTACCTATTTATTCACTAAGTAGCCCCAATAGCGCAATGGTTAACGTGTCCGCCTCCTATATGAATAGTGAGCGGGAGATTCCAGGTTCGATCCCTGGTTGGGGTGCTTTTTGCCTCCCAAAATCCCTGACCTCGGTTTTACTCGACATTGTGAAACCACTTTCTCATTCTTCCCTGCTTCTTTCAATGAATCGTGGCTCTCCTTTTGCTCAGTACTGTCTTTCCAAATATCAAAAGCCAAGCACTGGACGTTGTCCTGCACAAACTGTCGCTTCTGTCGGTAGAAAAGAAATTCAAGCCAGTAACGCACGCTTCGATAACCAAGGTCAGGCTAGTCTAGCAGAGCAGAGGCATTGATGAAGCCTGGGTGAAGCACAGAAACTTGGCAAGGTCATTACGTAAAGTTGAACCTGTCAACAATCACTGAAAGATTTTCGTATTATGCAAATGATTTTGTAGAATCTCTATGCCATTTCTCGTCCTTTGACTTTATTGTCCCTCCTGATATGCATATCTGATGCATTCTTGCTGTACCAACAGCACTCTTCCGGCCTGGTTGCTCACCATTGTTTCTACTTCCGGTCGGGACGCCTGTGCATCGATATGACAGCAGGAACTGTTGCTGCGCGCTACAATCCCTTCTCCTTCCTGCAGCTTCTCGTCCATCTCCAACCCAACATTTCTACTCCTCTACCAGAACTACGATGACAACGCCGAGCAGGCATCCACCCCTCGATCGGGTCGATAGCGACTTGCCAACGTACCATGAGACGCTCACGTCTCCCATTCATCCGCCGCTCCTGGGACTGCATGCCGTTGCAGCTGGGACTGCGAATGGCATTGGCAATCAAGGAGGAGCGGAGGTGAGGAGAAGAGGGACTCTGGGACCTAGGAGGAGGGGAACGCTGAGGAATGCAGGTTTGGGTGGGCTTGGTGGAGCAACGAGGAGTGTTTACGCTCATCTGGGATGGCCTGAAGGCTGTTTCGTGCTTAGGTACGTCATTTCCGTGGAGTGGAGAGGAGGTGGAGTGTGGATGTGCTGGCTTTGCGTTGCTTTGAGAGATCGTTTCTGTTGCAACTTGCAACTCTGTTACCCACAACATGAGCATTGTAAGGGACCCCTGCAGTAGTGATAGAGCGACCGTCAAGCAATCTAAGAAACATGACTGGTCATATTCCTTACAACAGCTCCTGAGCAAAGGACTTGCCGGTTGACATTGGTCTGATGCAAAAATACGTCAAAGTATGGATGTTCAGCGAAGTTCTGAACCAGGTAATGCAATCTAGGTTGCATCTCAACCCGCCAAGATGTCATCGATTTTCCAGCCTTTCGGCAATGAAATTGGCTGCTCTGGCAGTTCGTCCGCCTATTAGTAGTTACCTTGATCGTCTCCCTGACTTAGTGTATGTTTCTCACAGAAACCGAGTTGCGGATCGCGTACTCGAAGTTCAAGATTGCAAGACTGACGATGGAACACCGGTGAGCTTGGGACGAATGTGTCTCGCAGAAATACTAATGGAGATATCAGTTAATTCTCAACGCCTCAAAGCGGTTAGTCTTGAGCAAGTGACTATTTGATTTTGCTGACAGAAAAGAATAGCCCCCAACTCACTCCTCAACTGTCGCTGCTCCATCCAAAAAATAATCAAATCTTTTTCCTTGACTGGTCTGGATACTTGACTTCTGCGTCTGCTGGCAGACCTGTGGATGCCACGCCGGGTTCGTTATCTTCCTACCTTGGATACAGTCCTCACATGAATTCCAGACTTTGGTTTATCTATACGACATCCGTCTCCCATTGGGCCGATCGATAAGTACACCTGTCTGACCACTCCACATCCTCCGGCACGACTCAGATACGATAATAAAACGAAGACTGTACATGTCATCTTTGAATTCGACCCACATCAGACGGAAGATGACATCCTCTTCGATGACGATGCTGAAGAAGAAGAAGGATCGACTTCTGCTCAACCTGCACCGTTGTCTACACATTGGAAACAAGTCGACTACATCCTCGAAAGCGTGCCGTCCCGTCGTCCGCCTCCTCAACCAACACCTCCAACTCCTGCAACGCTTTCCTTGCCATTCGGACTCGGAGCTCTCCCCCTCTTCCCTTTCCGCTCCCCAACTGCTGCTAGCTTTGGTCTCGGGATCACGTCTCCAACTTCACCTCCATCTCCTCAACCTCCCCAGTCCCCTCACTACAGTCCTCAGTACATAACACCGTCCGCCCCACCTGCAATTCCACAGCATGCAATGCTCCAACCTGTCACTCCGAACTCTCGTACCGTATTCGACATTTCCGCCCCTCCACCATCTGCTACGAGGGAGAACATGCAGCGGACTGGACTGCCTCAAGATCCCAGGACGGATGAAGTGGATGACTCCACATCTCCTACACGAACAGTACGAATCGTCGCGTTGCAACCAGGTGAGCATTTTATTGTGCGGCGAAATTATCATCGTTGCTTAACCAGCCGTTCAGGTTGGAGGGAGAAGTTTGATCGCTTTGAGAATTTCGAGGTTGGACGTAGTCCCGGACGGATCAGCGAGGAAGAAGAGAGAGAGATGTTACGGTGGAGAAGAAGGATGTGGGACTGCGTGGCCGTCGTTGTCCAAACTGAGGAAGAGAGACAGGCAGCTCTTCTCCGTCAAAGCGTCGAAAGCCAGCGACAGCGGGAGCGAGAGAGATCGCTACAGATTCCACGTTCGGGGAGCTCTGGCCAGCTACGAATGAGCAGGAGCATGGGTTCGCTGCCCGCTTTGGACATCCCGCTTAATGGAGGAGGGAGTGGATCTGCGAGCGTCAGCAGCAGCATTTCTGACCTTTCTGCCGCCTCCCCAATCGCGACTCCGACCTCGAGACGGAGACCTGCGGCTCTCAATCTCGCTTCTGCTACGACGAGGGCATCTGGAGAGGAGGAGCTACCGGTCATTCAGACGACGAGTGCGTCTCCGAGAAAGGAAACGAGCGGGCAGAGAACGAGTCCGGTTGAGGTCGTTCAGGAGGTGGGGACGGAGATTTTGCAGGGGATTGGTGGGTTGGTTGCGGATGCGAGGAATGGAGTTAAGAATGCTTTCAAGTCTTCCTCGTGATACTGGGCTGTGGGGTGTTCAGTCGTTTGTCAGTCTTTGAGTTGTCAGTGCTGCATGGTAGCAGATATAGGTGCGTTTCGTTCCAATACAACATATGTATTCTACATCCTGGATTGCATCATCGTACTATTGTTTCTTCTGCACTTACAGCCACGCTCTAATATAGCTTTCCATCGAGGTCATGAGCAGAACAAAGGAACTTGCAGCGAAAACGAGATGAACTGATTGCATAGTTGAACATACCCATAATCTACATCGACACTTCATAATGCATATGAATGACACCACACAAAACAGAATACACGCTCACGATCACCTTCTGCGAATCCAGTCTGGAAACTGATCATAGACAAAGTTCCAAACCGCGCCTTTGTCCTCCCTAGTCAGTATCAACCTCTCCTTTTCGCCCGATCCTCCAGCTGCAGCTCTTGCTCGGTATCCGACGAGATTCTCCTGCGCAAACTCTTTCACACTCTTCCGTTCCTTCTCGAAGGCCTCCCTTTCCTCTTCAGTCAACTCTAACCGTTGACCCGCCGATACGTGACGGGAGAGGCGACGTGAAGCGAGAACGGAGTGCATGATGTGCGGCGCCGCGTATTCCATCTGGTCTCTCAAACTAGGAAGGGGGGAGGTTGAAGGAGGTGTTGGGAGCGTAAAGCGCGCCGGAGAAGAAGGGAAGAGCTGTGTGACTTTGGGAGGAGTGGTGGATGGCGATGGTACAGGTACAGGTGCACGAAGATCACTCGTTGAAAGAGATCGTAGCATTTGCGCTCTACCATCTTCCAACATTGGTGTAGGTCTATTAGTGCATGTGAAGGAGTCAATCCTTAAAGCCCAGAGAAAGGGACTGAATGAGCTCACAGCAGCTGGAACCGATCGACTTCCATCGCCAGCGTAGCCAAACTCGCCGTATTCGTACGCATCCGCTGTCTCGCTCTCTGTTGAGGTGAGGTGACGTATACTTTTAGCCTCCAGCCGCTGTCCAGGTCTTCTAATACCTCATCCGGTGCAACTCTCTCGTCTTGGCCGCGCGAATGAATGTCGCTCATCACGCTGCGCAACATTCGGCTCAGTACCAGTACCAGTCAAGAGATGGTGGGGCAGACGCACATAATTTCCCAGTCATAGGTTTGCTCCTCCAGCTCTGGTAGAAGCATACCCTTCCGTCGAGTGAGGATCCATGACAAAGAGCAATGTGAAGCGGAGAGGGTGAGATCGTAAATCTGGAAGACATCAGAATATAGTGATGCTCTGTCAACCCTGCACGCAGTCATAAGCTCGTACACGTCCGTTTATGTAGCAGAAAAGGACGAACGAAAGGGAAAAAACAATAGGAAGCTCATGCATCATAAAGATCCAACGCTTGAGTAAGACCCTCTTCTTTCCATGTCCTAGTGCATCCATCGCATGGCAGGGGGCTTTGGGGAACGCTCTGTCCCAGACGCCAGGAGATGCGTCGCGCATTTGCTTCCATACCTCTGGAGAAGGCAGCCTCTTTTTCTTTGTGGAAGCAAGTGGAGTTCGGAGGTACTTGTCGTCGATCCCCACCTCTCTATCCATTCTTGAGCTCCAATAACCATCGATGTTCTGCTGATTTTCCCTGTCATTCGTGTTTCTCCTCAATTTCCTCATCTCAAGAACCGGAGAGACTGGCTCTTCGCCTCGATAGTAATCGAGTCGATTGAGCGAAGGGGAGGTGCGCAAGGGTGGAAAGTAAGGACTGACGTCTCTCTTCGTCCTCGAATATCTGACACGGGATGGGCCGACAGAGGAAGCAGCTCCTGCTCCAGTCGAACTCGCGCTGGACGGTTCGGTATCCGGTTGTGAATGTGCATCCTCTGAGCCGCCAGAGGAAGACTCGAGGTCAATGGGATCGTCCGCGCCGCCCGAACCAGTGTACTTTGGCTTGCTGCTGACAGTATGACTGGTAACGTGAGCTGCAGACACAGAGTGTTGCAATGAACGACGAAGAGGAACTTCGGAAGGACCCCTTCCTTCGTAAGACA